AAACTATAAAATGCTGGGAGTCTATAAAGATAAGGAAGCCATCTGTATACTAATACAATATGCTTTTATTATTAACATCGCCAACTATTATGTCAATAAAATCATCTAAGTTGAGGTACACAAAACCAGCTCATTTCATTTATTTTTTTTGTTGTTGTTCCTCTGTTTCTCTCACATGATTAAGGGCATTTTATAATTGAAGCAACTTTACATTTTATCTGGTCCAACTACCTCATTCTATAGAGGAAGACGCTGAGGCTTAGAGAGACCAAGTGACTTTTCCATGATGACATAACAACTATGTTCCATGCTGCTTTAGGCTCTATGTGACCTATAATTTAGTAATCAGAACCTAGGACCAATGACTATTTGCACATTTGGTCATAACCATGGGAGTTGGGGGTTACACATATGCCAGTACCTTTGGAAATAATTAAAATAACCAAGGCAAGTTATAGTTTGCATTACCATTAGCAGAAAAGATAAGGACTCAGAATTATTCTAAGGATACTTCAAAATACATTTATATTTACCTGAAAATCTTTTTATTTTGGATTATTTATTTTCCAGCTCAGAATCTTCACAATTTGGTCAAACCGAGCATTCTTGATTTATCAGAAAATAACCTGGGAAAAGATGAAAATGAAGCTCTACATGAACTGAGTAAGAATGACAACTCAGCCAAAATCAGACACTTGAATATGTGTACTGGGTAGTCGGAATACATAGCCTGGGCCCTGAGGTCTTTTATCCCCATAAGTGTCTTACTATACACACCTTCCTTAGGAAAACCATTTAGGCCTTTTTTAAACTGCCCTCAAGGAACACAGGCCCATGTCTTTTAAGTCATCAGTTTACACATGCTCACTGCACTTGAGACGGGATCCCACCTGCTTTCCTCCTTTGAGGAGGCAACTAACAGAGTAGCTGATGTGCAAGACAAATTTGCTTAAGGAATTGGTGATATGATTTTTTAGGTGTGATAGTGATATGTGATTATGGCAAAAAAAAAAAAAAAGAAAAAATTAAAGAACTGATTCATACTGTCCATGATTTGCTTTAGAATAATACAGGAGGAATTGAGTCAGGATTAAGCAAGATTGCCCATGATTTAATGTCTTGAAAGTTGGCTTATTAGTATAGACAGTTTCATTATACTATTCTGCATGTTTGTATGTGCTTGAATACTTTCCATAAAAATCACCAAAGATCAAGTCGATTCTCATTGCAGATTGAGTAGGATGCAGAGCCACCGAACATAAAGATCATTCCTTCCTCAACATCCCTTGATTCTTCCTCAACATCCCTTGATTCTTCCTCAGTTTTGAGATCACCCAGTCCCTGAACTGTGCTCTTTGTTTCTTCCAGTTGACAGGTTGAACATGCTAGAACAGCTCACTGCACTACTGCTGCCCTGGGGCTGTGATGTGCAGGCAACCTGACCAGCCTGTTGAAACATTTGGAGGAGGTCTCATAACTCATCAAGCTTGTGCTGAAAAACTGGAGACTCACAGATACAGAGATTAGAATTTTAGGTAGGTGCACAAATACAGAGCCAAGAAAAAAGGATTTGGCCCTTAAAAAGTTCTTGGCCTAGCGCGGTGGCACACGGCTATAATCCCAGCACTTTGGGAGGCTGAGGCGGGCAGATCACGAGGTCAGGAGATCAAGACCATCCTGGCCAAAATGGTGAAACCCTGTCTCTACTAAAATACTAGCTGGGCGTGGTGGCCGGCACCTGTAGTCCCAGCTACTTGGGAGGCTGAGGCAGAAGAATTGTTTGAACCTGGGAGGTAGAGGCTGCAGTGAGCTGAGATCGCACCACTGCACTCCAGCGTGGCACCTGGCGACAGAGCGAGACTCTGTCTCAAAAAGTTCTTAAGTTGGCTTTGTGTATTTTGTCCCCTTATTTTATTTTGCTTCCTCTTTTTTTTTTTTTTTAAAGACGGGGTTTCACCATGTTGGTCAGGCTGGTCTTGGACTACTGACCTCGGGCGATTCGCCCGCGTTGGCCTCCAAAGGGCTTGGATTACAGGCGTGAGCCACCACGCCCAGCCAGCTTCCTCTTTTTTTTTTTTTAATATAAATATGTTTAAGGAGTTCATTCATGTTAAAGAAGACTTAAAACACTGGAACACTGGCCTTCCTTCAGGTTTTAAGCACTTTACCTACAGAATAAATGAAAAGCATTCACAGTATCCAACAAGATGTATTTGTTTTGTTTTGTTTTGTTTTGTTTTGAGACAGTCTTGCTCTGTCACCTAGGCTGGAGTTCAGTGGCATGATCTGGGCACACTGCAACCTCCACCTCTCGGATTCAAGCGATTCTTCTGCTTCAGACTCCTGAGTAGCTGGGACTACAGGTGCATGCCCCCACGCCTGGCTAATCTTTTGTATTTTTAGTAGAGACAAGGTTCACTATATTTGCCAGGTTGGTCTCAAACTCCTGACCTTGTGATCCGCCCAACTTGGCTTCCCAAAGTGCTGGGATTACAGGCATGAGCCACCGCACCTGGTCAAGATGTATTATATTAGTCATAGTCCTTACCGGTCTTAACTTTCTGAAATTCAGCAATGTCCCCCCCCCCATATCAGGAAATATTTTCAAGTTACTTATTGGGTATTCAAAATATATAAAGGTGAATGCAGCTGTATCTAAATGGAGCCACAAAATATCTTTAAGTAGCTGTATATTATCCAGAAACACATAGATCTATATAAATGACTGAAGACACTACCAACCTCAGGTAGATGATGAAAGAAGCCCTCATACTATCTGTATTAGTTTTCAATTTCTATATAACATACAGCCTGAAAACATAATGGCTTAAAATAATAATTATCTCACCGTTTCTGTGTTCAGGAATTTGGGAGAGGGCAGGTTAGCTCTGGCTTGGGCTCTCTCATGAGAGGGGCTGCTGGAGGATCTCCTTCCAAGGTAGCTTCTCATATGGTTGGCCAGTTAACACTGCTGTTGGCTGGAGGCCTCAGTGCCTCATCACTAGACCGCCTCATAGGCTGTGAGTGTCCTCACAACATGGCAGCCCACTTCCCCTAGAGCAAAGGATCCAAGCAGTTGGAAGCTGGAATGTCTTTTATGACCTAACCTTGGAAGGTCATTTCTGGTCATTTCTGACATATCCCACTGGTTGCTCAAGTTAGTCCAATCCAGTGTATTGAAACATGAATACAAGGAGGTCAGGCTCATCAAGGTCAACTTGGAGGCTATCATATTAAAGTCAAGGACTTGTGAAAACAGCCTCAGCCGCCTTTGTTTCCCTTACAATTAGTTTACATAACATAAACTAATTATGTTATTATTTAATAACATGAAATTTATTATTTAAACTGTTTTAAGTATAAAAGCTTTATGGCATTAAGTCCTTTCATATTACTGTGCCACCATCACAACATCCATCTCCAGAGCTTCTTCATCTTCCCCAACTAAAATTCTGTACCCTTAAACATTAACTCCTACCTGCTGCCCTTTTTAGAACCTTCTTTCCTGGAGACACTTACTTAAGTCCTTAGGCTGCCCAAGGGTTTGCCTTACCTAATGGTGCTTCAAGTTCCGGATCTTTCCTTCCCTTAATTCCTAACTTCTCTTTTATCCACTTCCTCAACCCATTAACTCATATCATCCTGGTGTCATTCTTTCAGGCCCTTTTTTAGGTTATATTAGAGTCAGGTGGCTTCTGTGACAGACTAATTAGCTAGCTGATAAATAACCCCTCTTAGGTAACCTCATACCTTAAGTGAGTTGGAAAGGATGTCTCTTTTCAAAGAGGTCCTTGGAGAATATCTAGATTTAGAATTCATGTGGGGGAGGCATTTTTAGGTTGAGGTCTTTTAGTATCCTTTAAATCTTTAAGTAGGTAGCTGCCTACTTTGTCCACTCCCAAGGCTGGCCATTAAGACCACAGAAAGAGATGATATGCTTAATGAAATAAAAACTGAGTTGGGCAATAATTTGCAATTTGACTTTATTTTTATTTATCTTTTTGAGACAAAGTCTCGCTCTGTTTCCCAGGCTGGAGTGCAGTGGCATGATCTTGGCTTACTGCAACCTCTGCCTCCCAGGTTCAAGTGATTCTCCTGCCTCTGCCTTAGCCTCAGCCAAGTAGCTGGGATTACAGGCACGCTCCACCACTCGGCTGATTTTTGTATTTTTAGTAGAGAAGGGTTTTTGCCATGTTGGCAAAATTCTATTTTAAAAAAAAAGAATTTGTGAACTGGGCACATTGGCTTACACCTATAATCCCTATGTTTTGAAAGGCTGGGGTGGGAGGATTGCTTGAGGCCAGGGGCTCAAGAACAGCCTGAGCAACATAGGCAGATCCCAGCTTTATAAAAAGCTTAAAAAAAAAAATTAGCTGGGCGTATTGCCACATGCCTGTAGTCCTAGCAATTTAGGAGGCTGAGGAGGGAGAGAATCCCTTAAGCCCAGGAGGTTGAGGTTGTTGTGAGCTATGCTCATGCCACTGCACTGCAGCCTGGGAGACAGAGTAAGACCCTCTCTCTTAAAAAAAAAAAGTCAATCCAGCAAGAGGATGTAATCATTATATATATATGCACACACACACACACATGTATATACACATATATATGATACACACACACATATATAAACACACACACACACACACACACACACACACATATATATGCCCCCATCGCTGGAGAACCTAGATATATAAAGCAAATATTGTTAGAGCTAAAGAGAGAGATAGAACCCAATACAACAATAGCTGGAGACTCAACACCCCATTTACAGCATTGTACAGATTTGCCAGACAGAGAATTAACAAACATCAGACTTAATCTGCACTATACACTAAATGGATCTATGAGATATTTATAGAGCATTTCATCCAACAGCTGGAGAATACACATTCTTCTCCTCAGTATATGGATTATTTTCAAGGATAGACCACATGTTAGGTCATAAAATAAGTCTTAAAAAAATCCAAAAAAATTGAAATCTGATTCAAGTATCTGACCACAATAGAATAAAACTAGAAATCAATAACAAGAGGAACTTTGGAAACTAGATAGACATATAGAAATTAAACAATATGCTCTGAAATGACAAGTCTGCTAATGAAGAAATTCAGAAGGAAATTGAAACAGGCTGGGTGTGGTGGCTCATGACTAGAATCCCAGTATTTTAAGAGGCCAAGGCGGGAGGACTGCTTGAGCCCAGGAGTTTGAAACCAGCCTGGGCAATATGGTAACATGTCGACTCTACAATTAAAAAAAAATATATGTATATATTTTTTAAATTTCTTGAGACAAATGAAAATGGAAACACAACATACCAAAACCTGTGGGATATAGTGAAAGCAGTATATGTGTATATATACACACATCCTTCCTTCCTTCCTTCCTCCCCCACGCCTCTCTTACGCTCTCTCTTTCAAGACAGGGTCTTCCTGTTGTCCAGGCTGGAGGGCAGAGATATGATCACAGCTCACCAGGCTTGAACTCCTGGGCTCAAGGGATCCTCCTTCCTCAGCCACCTGAGTTTAGCTGGGACTAGAGGCTACTATGCTCAGCTAATGGACCTTCCTCTTCAGTGACCTTCCCTCCCACTCTCCTTCGTCCATTCATTCTATGAGCAGGCAGTGAACAGATTATGATAATTCACTTAAAATTGTTCTACTTGCAAAATAATCAATGCAGATATCCCATTCTCAAACTACAACTGCCCGTATTTCCATCTTACTTAATGACTCCTAATCACCAGTTCTTTTACTTCACTGGGACTTCCAGTCCATTGATCCCACTACCTTCTACCTATTTTTTAGGCCCCTTCTGTTTTGATTTGCCTTCCTACCTAGTTTCAACTTCATCTTCCATCCTGCAAACACTCTTAACAGCTGAAATTCTCATGGTCCACAGTATCATGAGTCAATTCAGGCAATGACTTTGAGTGATGGATATGTGTGATAGATGCAATAGTAAAATGAAGAGCGTAATAAGAGATGGAGTCTCTAATTAAAGAAAGACTACCTAATGAGATGCAGGGAGAAAATGAGATGTGGAATGTGAGGTAAGAAATGAAATACAGTAGATGGGGTGTACTTTCCTGACAAAACTCCAGTCCTGGATTATCCTTACATTTCCCTTTTTTAAATTTTGTAACTACACTCAGGATGCTGGGGGGAAACTGCAAAATTTAGGAGATAGATAGAAGTTCACACTGAAAATTTTCAATGAAAATATTTAGAACTAAATGGTAAGAAAACACTGCATATCAAAACTTGTGGCATGCAGCAAAAGGGAGCAGAAAAGAGTAACTTTACAGTGGAGAATGCTGTTAACACTACCTCGGTTAGGTGATCAAGGTCAACGTTAACAGTGGTAATTCACGTTGATAGTATGTTCCTAGATATGACATGACAAAAATAGTACTTTACCTCTATAATCTTCCTCCCCAGAGATCTATATCCCCCATCTAATGATGAGAAAAACACCAAACAATCCTAATTGAGTGGCTTCTACAAAAACCTGACCAGTACTCATTGAAACTGTC